GTAGGGAAATGCTGTTCTCTAAATAGGTTTTCAACATTTGGCTGGGCAATCCTATTGCAATGTGTGACATAAGAAGGGGTCAGGATCTTCTCAGGCATAAGCCCAGGTGAAGAATTATGGAGCATGTATAATCACTGTGTTCAATCTGCTGAGCCCTAAGGCACATATCTCACTTATTTTTAACACTTGAAATGGACAAAGATGCTCTTCCATCTGTATCCCTTCTCCCCCTCCCCACCCCATAAATCCCATCTGGGCAAAGTAGCAGAGCTAGGACTCGCAGTGTTTAATGCTTATGCTTCCCTCCCGTCAGCTCCTCCTGCAGAGCAATCTGCTCAGCACAGTTCTGCTTATCTGCATGGCAGTCAGGGTGAGCCCTTGACAAGGACTGGAGCCGGATACACCACAGCCCTGCAGCACCCTAGCCTTGTCATACACCCTGTGGGTTGGGCTCTTTGTCCCTCTGGAGCAGCAGTCAGGGATACTCTTCCCTAACAATGAGATCTTCATTCTCACAGTTAACACTGAAGATGGTTAATCTTCATTTGCAGTGTGGAAATTACTGTCTGAGAACTTACAGGCTTCAGGATGAGTAGCTTTGCTGCTTGAGCAACTCTCAAAGGACCCCTTTAGTGCTCGGTGAGCATCCTGGCTGCTGACTGGCTGTGATTTGTCATGTATGGGATAAATCATCCCCTTCTATCCAATTCAGTGCCAAACATAGGGCAGTGAGAAATACAGAGCAGTGAGAACTGGGCAAGGTGGCCTCTGAGGTTCTTTTTGCCTTTGAAAATGATGAGGCTGACAGAGAGTGTGTGAGCACAGAGATGCCTTCTCCCAAAGGGGAGTGCTGTCTGGCAGGCCTTGACGTCAGGAGGCTTTCTCCTGATGGGATGCTGATGTTCAAGAAATAAAAGCATAATGGATTTTCCTAGAGAGTGTCCCTGGGCATCTCTGATCAGGCTTCTTTAGGTCATTTCCCTGCAGTGCACTAGTTTCTCTAAGACAGTAATTTACACTCTAGTTGTTTTGTACAGGAGACTTCTGCACACACAGAGGAGGTTCATAGCATGCCAGCCCCATACGCTTGCTGGGATTCAGCACAGCAGTAACTCACAGGGAGCATTGCACAGCAGCCCTAAATGTGACAGCACGCTGTATAATCAAGATGAAAAGGTTTAACATGAACCCAAATATGCTGCGATTGCTGCGTGCGTGGGCTGAATGAGCATGCTTCTGCTGTTGGGGGAGAACAGTCATTTGAGAAAGGGGATTTTTTTTGTGTCACTTCAGAAGTTTAAACAGTGCCAGCAAACTGGCATCTCACTCCTGTGAGTAATCCATTGCTGAGGGGCAACATGAAGGGAGCATCCTGCATTTTTTACATCCTTTAGTAGGAAGTGACAGAAGTTGGCCTGGACTAGAAACAGAGTCTGCTGTAGCATAGGGATGTTCTCAGTTGTCTTTGGAAATCAGCAATGACCGTGTCTGCCTTCCTCTGGAGCTCGCTTTCAGCTGCCTTATAGCTTATGCAGGTCAGGCAGATTTCTGGAGGCATGTGTACCACTAGCTGTGTTGCCATCTGATCAAGGCAGCAAGTGGAGACATAAGGAGTCTAGGTTTTGTTCCTGGTTCTGATACAGGATCATAACTGCAGGCAAATCTTACACCCTTAATTGATTATCTGGATAGCAGAAGCAATGCTACTCCTTGTATGCCATGTCTATAGGTAGAAGAAACCTTTTAGTAGACAACTTGTCACTTTCTAAATTTTTATAGACTGGCAGAGCTCACGGCGCCTATTTTAGGCACTGTCACACTGCAAATGCATCACGTGCAATTGGATCTGTTTGAAGGCAATCTTCAGACCTTTCAGGTTTATTACCTGCAATTTGCTGTATGGGTTGTAGGGAGAGGAAGAATTGCTCCTGCAGGAGTGAAGAGCTGCTAAAAAGCCACCAAGAGTAAGACTTTGGCACCGAAGTCACCCTGGGCAGCTCACGCTCTGGCTGGGGGCTGACTGTTGTGGGTGCACGAGTACATGTGGGTGGTGAGGGCTCTCCCCTGCAGGCTTGGGGTTTGTATGGGTGCTTCGGGGACAATGACAGGAACATGAGCAGCCCTCCTGTGTGCAGCTGGCTTGGTATGGAAAGGCAGTGTGGGCAACCTCCCATGAAGGCCTTTATTCCATCACTTTGGTATTTTTTCTAAAATACAGTCAACCATCAGTTTGCGCCTTGGCCTGCACTTTTATCTCATGAGCTGATATTCATAGGTACAAGCACTAAGTGAATAATGTAACACATGAGTATGTGTGAAACCATAAATCATTCACGCTGGAGAACAAGGCAGCCTTGTTCTGTAAACTGATGGAAACTGCTGCCCAAGTGTAGCAGGTCCAAGAGAGCAAATCGAGATTTTTCTTTATAGTGGGCAAGAAGAATATATTGCAAGGTACAACTGTGAGGGGATTTGAAAACATATTTTTCAAATAGTTGAGGTGACTCTAGGGGTTACATGACTAGAGGGAAAGGCATTCCCCTGTGCATTTGTTTCCCAGCTG